AAAATTGGGGGTTCCATTTAAAAAATTCAAAGTGACCTTGTCCTGACCTTGACGATGCCACTCAGGGTCAAACCAATGTTATCATCTTATGTCCCCCTCGAAACCCTACAACTTTTGTCTGAAACATTTTTTCCTAGTGTGTTTATTTTTCGAGATATTTGAAAATTTCAGGTTAAAAAAATCACCCTGTATATATTTTAATTTAATTAGATTGAAAAACTGCATTTTCTATCTAGAATTTTAAATTAGAATTTTAAAAAAATTTTAAATTAGTATTTACGATATACTTTTTTAAATCATCGATAAACTTTTTAAAACTGAACTTATTTTTAGATTGAATGGCATAGAAAATGTAATCATGCAATTCCTATAAATAAATACGAATGTATTGGGCATTGAAATGGATTCAGATTTTCAGAAGTATGCCTTCGCGAATGTTAAAATAAATTTAAAAAAAATCTATTTCAATCAATTTTCGTTTACTGGGACCGTTTATTTAAATTTATTTATTCAAACTAGTACTTTTAATTAGGTGGAAACACAGAGGACAAGGTGTTTACTGTATTGGGCTCTGGTAAACCTTTGAGGCAATTCATCTACAGCATGGACTTAGCAAAATTAATAATTTGGGCGCTGCGTGAATACGATTCTGTGGAACCAATCATACTGTCAGGTAATTGTCTATTAGGGATACAGTATTATTTTCCTAGAATTTTCCGGTAAATATCATTTGTCCGTAACTTTACTGCTTTCATTATTAAACAATGTTGCAATATTGCAGTTATCAGTGTTGCATAACTTTATCGCAGAAATTGTGAAAGAAAAATAATGAAACAATAATGAAGAACTCATTGCGTAAAAATTTTTTGCTAAAATTATATTCAGAATGTTGGCAAATTTAATTTAAATCTTGCATATCTCTCTTTGACTCTCAATGCCCTTTGATTCATTATTGCTTTAAATTGAAGAAGAGTCTGATGTAATATTTATGTTACTTAGAAAAATGATACACTTTTCAGTGGACGAAACGCAGGAGAAGTCGATAGCACAGGTGGCGGAGACGCTGGCGCGAGCTTTCGACTTCAAGGGCCGGATAGCGTACGACACATCGGCAGCGGATGGACAGTACAAGAAAACGGCGAGCAACGCAAAGTTACGAAAGTACTTGCCTGACTTTGAGTTCACGCCTTTCGAGCGAGCGATCAAAGACACTGTTGATTGGTATATAAAAAGCTACGATCAAGCGAGGAATTGAAGTAGTGGGAGTTGTAAGAGAGTTTTCATTAATTTTATACCTCAAAAAACTTTATATAAAGTTTTACACCTCAAGATATACTCCAATTACAGGTTCATTGTAATTCGAACATGATACTGAACAACGATTATTTGTTAATTACTTATGAATAATAAGACTGAAAAGTTGTTGACGGATGGCTATGAATCGCACAGTTATATTCCCATTATATTCCTAAAAAAAAAAACCTATTTTCGAAGTAAATTTCGTCTTTGCAAAAAAAACGTTGCATTTGTCGTTCCCGGGAGGAGGAGCGAGCTCAAAGCGTTTTGCTAACTTTTACACAGACGAGCTCGACCGAGGTTCTCTAAAATCCACAGTTAATTCCGGGGTGAGTATATATATTTTCAAACTGTTAAACAAACATTCGAGGATACGCGGATATTTTTATTGATCTGGAAAGTTACCTACCGAATGCGCATACTAAACATAGATTCAGGCAAACACCTGGCGCGGCGGCGCATTTATTTTCGCTCGTTCGCGGCACTCCCGAGGTATATTTTAGGTCAGCTTGCGCATAAATTTTGGCCGATAGATCGCTTTATGATGCGTATTGACCGCCGCGACGTGAAATGTAAACGTAATTTCGCGAATGTATCTTAAGTAAGAAGTTGCTTTATCGATTTGAATTTGAAATCGGTAGAATCAAGAATCTTCTTCTTTAATCCTTTAACGTGTTTGATGTACGAACGAACGTTATATGTAGGGGAGAGTTGCCGAATGGCGTACCGATCGCCTAAATCGCACCTCATCGATACTTTATATTATTATTTAATATGATTAACATTTAACGACAAAAATATTTTATTAATTATGTTTTATATTTTTATAATTAAATGTTTTATAATTTTCATAAATTAATATTTTTACAATTTAATTTCAAATTTATTATATTAAATAATATAAAATTAAAATCAATCTCGCTCGTAAAACAATATAATAAATGTGTCAAACAGACCAAAGACAAGGAATAATATAGGTGTACACGCAACGATAATTAATATAGTATCACTCATGATTATGATATGATTATTCACTAGCCATGTTCAACAGTTGATGTTTTATAGCTATAAAACATTGATTATTGAACATCACTGGTAAATTGTCATATCATAATCATGAAATATAATATTACATTAGTCAAATAATTCAAACGACTTGGGATTTTCATGACACGAATGAAGTTTTGAAAAATGACATGCCATATTTGAAATTTTTGAAAGCTCGGCCGATTTATCTTAATAACTATTTATTAAATTATATTATTTTTTATTCCGGACGATTTTGTTTTAACGATTTTAATATATGACTCTATTTTTTGTGTATTAATTGATGGTTAACATTAACATTAACATAACATTATTAATTATTTATTTATCATTGTATATCACTTTACCGACCATACAGTTCACAGGTGTATTTTAGCACATATGATTCTAAGTTATTAAGTTTGCGGTTGAGAAAGACTTACAATTAGTAAGATTGAAACTAGTTTCGCTATATTATTAGTAATGAGGAAATACGGTTGACTTTGTACATCTATTATTGCTCGTCTGTTTAATATATTAATAATATATTAATAAAGCATTGATGAAATAATTCATTCGGCAACCCTTTATTTTGTTATAGCTGTTTGTTATTTTAAAAATTATATGAATTAAAATATTCTAGCAGATTTTTCAAGTCAAAACTTTCCTTGTAATGTGAAAAAAATGATTTCTCCTCAAATTAAAATGTAAGGTTTGCAAGAACCGTCCGATAATTTCAACTGCTCTTTAGCGAATGTTTAATTCAAGATTTAATTAATTCTTTAATTAGTAAAAATGTCCGAAATTGGAACGTCGCATGGATGATATAAAGACATTAGCTTTTTAACTAACGAAGATCCAGATGTCCCGTTTTTTTTTTTTTTTTTTTTTTAATTAATCGTATAATCTCGAATTGGAAAGCCGGACAAAGGACGATGTCCGTCCGTTCGTAAATTACAGTCTCGCCGAAACGTTCGTTTTTCCCATTATAAAGTACTGCAAGTCCCGCCGCGCGGTTAATACAGAGATAAAGAGAAGAGAATTTTAATTAGTCGTCGTCACAGTACAATCAATGTGTCCGCGGATCTCGAGAACAATGGATCAGGAAATGAAAGATCGGTCGGTTCGATTGAAAAAAAAAAAAAAGAAAAAACAGGGTCACGATAATTTTCGCAATAGTAAGCCTGACCGCCATGTCGCGTGCCTGATCGATCGATTGGCAGACGAAGATAACTACACGCGCGTGTCTTTATCGAGATACATACGTCTCTCCAACCCGCGACTTTTCACCCCGGCGACGGGTCGTTCCCCTCTCCCCTTCCCCCCAGAGAGAAATGAATCACCGCTTTTCCGCGAAATGTTCCCTTAAACGTGCCGCTAGAGATGTATATAGAAAAAAAACCAAATTGTTTTTTTTTTTCATAAAATACGTTTTTTTTTTTAAACATAAGTCTTGTTTTTTTCTCAAAATTTTGTTTTTTTAGCTATCTATTTAATATATATATTTGCTTAATATAAGTTAATTTTTTATGATTTTTTTTATTTTATAGATAGTAGATTTAAATTATCATCATTTTAAACTTTACGCAGAACGAGAAAGCCAATATATTGATTCTGAAACGCATTTTGAAGCAAAGAACTGAATAATTATAATAAATTCTACTTAAAAGGAAAAGCTGTTTAGAAAAAGAATTAAAAAGATTCTCCTTTTGTAAAAGTTAAATGTAGATCGCATTAAAATTAATTATATAATTATGTAATTACTATTTACAATTAATTGTGCTATCGGAATTAGAAAAAAAAAACAAATTTGTAGTTTTTCAATGAAATAAAACACGTTTTTTCTAATGTTTTTTCTGTTGGAAAAAAAACGTATTTTTTACATCTCTTCGTGCCGCTATTCGTATGTGCGACGTGCAAGACGACTCTCTCTCTCTCTCTCTCTCTCTCTCTCTCTCTGTTACCAAGATCGAATCGCGATCGATCGAGCGAGTGTGAATGTAATTGACCTTATGTGGATGTAATCGGATTATACCGGTCCGTTCGTAGACCCCGCGCGTTTCTCGATTAAATTATAATCAATTCTTCGGTGAAAATTTAACGCCCGCGTCGCTATATTTTCTTTATGCAGCTCATTCATTTTTAGCATCTTGTACAGTTACACGTTGAACTTAATTGAATTGAATTGGCTGGAATTGAAAAATTATTGTGAACATAAAATAGAACGAATGCACGAACGAAAAGTGAAACTTTGTAATCTTTTCGCAATCGGATTAAATAAAATTGCAATGCACATTGTAAAATTATTGTACGGATATTTTAACCCGTGCTATACGGACGCGTAAAACGCTTTACAATGCTTACTTTATAGTCAATCGTCAATTATAATAATTCAGATTTTGATGAATTGTATTAATATATTTATTTATTTCTTTAATTTTTACAAGATTTTGGATAATGCTAACTCAGAAAAGAATTTTTCATATAAGAATGTATATAAATATATATATATATATATATATATATATATATAAATCAAAGATACCGAAGTAAACAGCCAATTCATAATAAATAAATATATATAATTACAAAATATATCCATATATATTATTATATATGTTATATATATATTTCTTTCTTTTGTAAAATTTCTGTTCGCAGAAAAAATATAATACAAGAAAAGTAATAATAATAATGGCAAGGCATAAAAAATAGTTTAAAAAAATAATTTTTACATTGTTCCTTTTACAAAAAGTAAAATTTGATGAAATGAGAAAAAATTACTCGTATGCATATAATCGCGGTATATATATTTTCAATTATATATGATTATGGACCGAACGAATTTTTTTTCTTGTAAACTTGATTTTTTGTAAAAAAGAAGCAATGCGAAAATTATTTTTTAACTTATTTGTTATGTCTTCTCATTATTATTATTTTTTTTCTTTTACTAAACAAAAATTTATTTATAAACAAATAAATCAGTGTATTAATTTAAAAAGAAAGAAAAACGGACGTATGTATGTATGAGCATATTTTGTACATAATTATATATTCTCATCACGGAGAGAATTTCCTTTTAAAATTTACCCTGAAAATCATATTAATCGTGAGACAATATAAGTAGTATTTCGGCAAATTTTACTGTGCACTACAACAAATTTGCTGTAAAAAAATAAAATGAAAATCGTCGAATTGCGTCATAAAATTCGTCGAAATACTATTATTGTCGTATGATTAACATAATTTTCAGGGTAAATTTTAAAATAAAATTCTCTCCGTGTGCATATAAAACATTTTTTCTCGGAAGTGTTAAAATAATGATTCTTTTTTACGAAATCCGTATATACGGATGACATTCATAACTACTCTTTAAATAACCATATATTAATAGATGTATCCTACGCGCGATTATTCGTTGATAAATCTAAATATAATTATTAATGAGTTTGACGATTTTAAAGGAAGATGAATCGTCCGTATAAGTTACGCACGTGCGATAAGATAGTGAGAGAATGTCGAAACGAAATTTCTCTGCTTATCCTCGCCTCCACGCGTCTCCGTTACGGGTTGCGTGCGATTATACCTATGCGTAATCGCGTTCTTATATATGCGTGAGCGCGATATCTGAGCGGATCGTTTCGTAGAAGAAATCTATAGCTGTATACTTTCTTTAAACAAAAACTGGAAAAAGAATCGCGTTACACGGAAAACACGCGATACGCTTAAAAGTAAATGAATTATTTAAACTGCCGATCGATGCCAGGGTTGGGAAAGTTACTTTGTATAAGTAACTGTAACAGTTTTTGTCTCTCAAAAAGTAACTAATTGTAAGTAGTTAGTTACTCGAAAAGTAACGAATTACTTTTCAGTTACTTTTAATAGAGCGACATTAGCATTATAAAAAAAAGATTTGCATTCACACGTTATATGATTTTATTTAAAAAAGAAAAGTAATGCGCGTATTTTAAATAGGAGCATTTAAATATTTCGCATACTTCTACAATCAACATTACAATTAGGTGATTGATCGAAAGTGTTGCATAATTTTGATGACCATGAAAGTGACAATTTGACATATATAAAGTAACTATTAAATTAGTTACTACAGTC